AATGTCATTTAAAGTTTGTCTAAGTACCTTTGCATTCGATCGTCTCGAACCTCGAAGCTTCTATTTACATGATTTACTACCAAAAGGGAATCACACTTTGCCTCGATGACCTCTGCTCCAAGGCCCTTGGCTAGTTCAAGACCTACAATCATGGCTTCGTACTCGGCCTCGCTGTTAGCCAATTAGAAGTTTTGCTAGATTGTCTAATAACACTGCCCGTAGGCGGTTTCAAAATGATGCTGAGCTCGGATCCTTTCACATTCGAGGCACCGTCTATGAAGAGGTTCCAAACCCCCGATGATGTACCCGATTTTAGAAAAAGTTCCTTCTCTACTTCGGGTACGAGGGCGGGCGCGAAGTCGGCCACGAAGTCTGCCAAAATTCGAGACTTGATAGCCGTTCGAGGCTGATATTCGATATCATATCCTCCAAGTTCGATGGCCCATTTGGCACATCTGCCCGATAATTCGGGCTTGTGCAAGATATTTCGAAGCGAGTATGTAGTCAGTAAACATATATGATGGCATTGAAAATATGGTTTTAATTTCCTAGATGCGCTTATTAATGCAAGAGCTAATTTTTCCAAATGTGGGTACCTAGTTTCAGCATCTCCTAGGGTCCGACTCACATAATAGACAGGAAATTGCGTACCTTGCTCTTCTCGAACCAACATGCCACTTACCGCTACCTCGGACACAGACATATACAAGATATCGTTTTAATTCTTCCAAAGCTTACTGGCACTCCAGGTCCATGCGAAGTTGTTCTTCTTCTTGAGTAGGGAAAAGAAGTGATGGCTCCGATCTGATGACCTCAAGATAAATCGACCTAGGGCAGCTATCCGTCCGGTCAGCCATTGCACGGATTTCACATTGTTTACCACGGTGATTTCCTCGATGGCTTTGATTTTATCGGGGTTGATCTCGATACCTCTATTCGATACTATGAAGCCCAGGAACTTGCCCAAGCCGACTCCAAAGCGCATTTCTCGGGGTTGAGCTTCATGTTGTATTTTCTAAGGATGTCGAATATCACCTGCAAATGGGTCAAATGGTGCTATACGCGCAGGGACTTAACTAGCATGTCATCAATATAAACTTCCATGGATTTGCCTATTTGATGTTCGAACATCTTATTAACTAGACGTTGGTATGTGGCTCATGCATTTTTTAGCCCGAAGGGCATTACATTATAACAATACGTACCATACTTTATGATGAATGAAGTTTTTTCCCTGTCCTCCGGGTTCATTTGAATTTGGTTGTATTCGGAGTAGGCATTAAGAAAGGTAAGGATCTCATGGCCGGCCATACGCATCGATCAAACGATCGATGTTGGGCAATAGGAAAGATTCTTTAGGGCATGCTTTGTTCAAATCTTTGTAATCTACACACATTCTAAGTTTATTCCCCTTTTTAGGGGCTACTACTACGTTAGCTAGCCATTTGGGATACTTCACTTCCCTGATGGATCTTATTTTGAGAAGTTTGGTTACCTCTTCTTTGATGAATGCATGCTTTACCTCGGACTGTAGTCTCCTCTTTTGCTTCACTGGCTTAAATTTGGGATCGACACTTAGTCAATGGGTAGTTATCTCCGGTGGAATACCTGTCATATCTAAGTGGGACCAAGCGAAGCAATCAATATTATCAAAGAGAAACTGAATAAGCTTTTTCCTGAGTTTGGGGGTTAAACCCGTCCCTAGGTGTACCTTTCGTTTTGGAAGACGCTCAACTAATATGACCTACTCGAGTTCTTCAACCGTGGATTTCGTCGCATCTGATTCCTCGGGGGCAATGAAGGTTTGGGGGATGAGTAAATATTCTTCTTCGTCCCCAGCCACCTGTTCATCGAACACTTGTCCCTCGAGCTCAACTGAGGGCACGGACTATAATTGCTATTTGGCCACCTGCTCATCCTTCAATTTTTCTGATGTGGATGGTGCCGATACCGTTGCAAAGTCGTGAACTGCAAACATCTCCTTAGTTACATGCTACTATCCATATACTATTTTCACGCCATCCTTCGTTGGGAACTTCATCATCTGATGAAGGGTCGATGGCACCGCCGTCATGCTGTGGATCCACGACCTTCCAAGCAAAGAATTATACCTCATGTCACCTTCGATGACATGAAATTTGGTGTTTTGTATGGTTCCGGCCACGTTTACTGGGAGGATGATTTCTCCCTTCGTTGTTTCACTTGCCATGTTAAAGCCATTCAAGACCCGAGATGCCAGTATGATCTGATCGAGCAGCCTGAGCTGCTCCATGGCCCTTGACCTGATTATATTTGTCGAACTACCTAGATCCACGAGAACACGTTTAACTTGAACTTTATTTAAAAGGATAGAAATTACCAGTGCATCGTTGTGAGGTTGAGATAAAGCCTCAATGTCTTCCTCGCTGAATGTGAGGGTGTCTTCGGGCAGGTAATCCCGAGTCTGTTTCTCCCTTGTGATGGATACTTTGGTACGTTTGAATATTGGTCCCTGTGGGACGTCGACTCCACCGATGATCATGTGGATGACATGTTGAGGTTCTTCAGGTTCATTCTTTCTGGCTGCATCCCTCTCCCTGAAGTGATTCTTAGCCCGATCACTTAGGAATTCTTGAAGGTGCCCCTCATTGAATAACCTAGCTACTTCCTCCCTTAGCTACCTGCAATCTTCCGTTCTATGACCATGCGTGCCATGATACTTGTACATCAAGTTCGAGTTCCTTTGGGAGGGATCGGTCTGCATTGGCCTGGGCCACTTAGTATCCTTGATTCTCCCAGCAGCTGAAACGATCCCTGATGTATCTATGTTGAAATTGTACTCTAGTAATCAGGGAGCCTCGGTGGGGTCGGCGTGTTTATTGAACCCGTTCTTGCTCATGAGTCCCCGAGAACCTTGACCTTGGTCACTTCTTCGATTGCTCCGAGAGGTGTTGTAGCTCGGGCTGTGTTTCTTCGATCCGCATATGGTTGATACCGTTCTTTGCTGAATCTTGATCCCCGGTCTATGTCCCTCGGGGGCTTGGCCGCAAACCTGTTAGGATGAACTGAGCCCGAGGGGGCTCCAAACTGGTCGTCCTCGACCCTAATTTTTGATTGATAGCGATTGTGCACATCCGACCACGTCATGGCTGAATATTCAATCAAGTTTTGCTTTAGCTGTCGAGATGCAACCGAGCTTCTTTCATTCAAACCTTGCATAAAGGCCTGAACTGCCCAGTCATCGGAGACTGCGGTAATTCCATTCTTTCCATCTGAAACCGGGACACGAACTCCCACAGTATCTCGTCGTCCCTTTGTTTTTTTTGAAGACATCCGATTTTCTTGTGGCCACCTTTATGGCCCCGGCATGTGCTTTCACGAAGGCATCCACCAACATAGCAAATGAGTCAATGGAGTTAGGAGCTAAGTTGTGATACCAGATCATAGCTCCTTTTGATAATGTTTCCCCAAACATTTTTAACAATACTAACTCGATTTCATCATCATTCAAGTCATTTCCTTTGATTCCACAAGTGCATGAAGTAATATGTTCATTAGGGTCACTTGTTCCATTATATTTCGGTATATCGGGCATGCGAAACTTCTTAGGAGTGGGCATTGGAGCCGCACTTGGGGGGAAGGGTTTTTGTATGAACTTTTTCGTGTCCAGCCCTTTCAAAATCGGAGGTGCTCCTGGTATCTGTTCGGCTCTTGAATTGTATGTCTCCACCTTTTTGTCATTTTCTTCAATTTTCTTTTCTCCAGACTCGATTCTTTTAGTCAGTTCTTCGAGCATTTTCATAATAGCGGGATCAGTCCCCGAGCCACCTTCATCGGGCCTCTCTAGCGCCGGTTCGTTCACTGGTTCGACAGTGTTAGGAGTTCTGTTCTAGCTCTGAAGTTGAGCGATGGCAACTTGCTGAGCTTGTAGCATCTCGAATATCACCTGGAGGCTGACTCCTCCTTCTTCCAATCCTTGTATTTCCTGGCCTTCGGCTCAGGCTTCCCTGTGTACAGTCCTCACGGGGTCTGTGCATGCGTCCGTGTTCGGAGCGTTGTGCGAACTGATATTAACTGGCTCCACGTTTGGCCTTCCCTCAGGGTTTTGGGTGGTACACCAAGCCCTATACCGCTGTTTTCCTTGAGTCCCTCACTGTCATGAGCAGGTGCGTTTTGTGTGCTAGACATATTTTGGCCTGAAATCAAAAAAATCTTTGACAAGAAAAAGTGTGAAGAATAACGTGTGTTATCAGAAAACTAGAACTAAAATAATCACTATTATCTTTAGCCCCACGGTGGGCGCCAAATTATTTACCTCAAAAAATGTAAGTAACAATTAAAGATAATTTGTGGTTTTAAAGATATGTGATATATTCTAATACTAGTGATTATACAAGTAATATTAAGCTTAAGTAAGAAGAAAAGTTGAACCAAATCAGTGTTGCTGGAGCAATAGGGGCCTCGAGCTCGGTTATCCCAGGGACCTTGAGGTCAGCTTAGAACAATAAAGTATGAACAATAAAGCAAAGACAATAAATCTCAAGAATAATTGTTGAGCACGTTAAACAAGAAAGACAGAGCTGAATGTTCTATAGCAGAGAATAATATCAGATGATGTTACAAAATGATTGGGGTTCCCTTTATATAGGAGGAGAAAACTCCAACATAGTACATTCCTAATTGTAGTAAAGAATTCTATTGGTACAGGTGTATAACAGCCTAGTACGGACCTGTAACATTTCGTACAAATCTTATCTTTTAATTTATCCCCTGGTCCACGTGTTCTTGAGAAATTCCCGCTTTTTCTTGATTGACTTCGAGATTGTGCTGCCCTCGACACAGGTCGTGCTAGGACTTCGATCAGCTTCCTCGAGGTATGTGTCCCTCGACCGGATCTAACTTCCATTTCGAGTTGCCCGGACTCGGACTAATAACCCAATTTAAGACCTCGAAAATCGGGCTCCCTGATTTTGATCGTATACAATGTGCTTTACAGAGAACTTTTCTATCTTAGTCACTTCCTATTCTGAATGTCCAGCATTCTCAAACGGTCTTTTGGCTTTGAAAATCTTTTGGATAATCCACGATGCACTCTTTGGCTCTATGTTCCATATAGTATTCCCCTTTATGTAGTAAGCATGTATCCACTGAAACCAAAGCTTTTCCTTTTGTGTGCAGATGTTCCATAAGAGCTTGCATATAGCTTCTTTGTTCCACAATTCCACATTGATGAAATTTAAGCCTCCTGCTACCTTTGGAGCACACAATTTATCCCAGGCAATCAATGCCTTCTTAGTAGGTTCAACACTCCCCGACCATAAGAATCTCTTGCATATTGTTTCGATGAATTGTATGATCTTTTTTAGCAGAACAAAGATTTGAGTCCAGAATTTCTGAATTGCCACTAGTACACTCTTGATTAGCATTGCTCTACCTGTATATGATAGAAAATTTGTTGTCCAACACTGTATCCTGCTCAGCATTCTATCAATTAGGGGTTCACACTGCATTACTGTCAGCCTCTTTGTGCTCAAAGGGACTCCAAGGTACCTGAAAGGTAATTCTCCTTTAGTGTACCCTAACATGTCCATAATATGTTGTTGTGTTCTGTTGTCCACTCCTCCAAAATAAATGCAGCTTTCAATTGAGTTTGCAATTAGTCCTGATGCTGCAGAGAAAGTTAGAAACTGTTGTGTAGACTCTTGACTGATTGTGTGTCTCCTTTATAAAATAGCAATAAGTCATCAGCAAATCCCAATTGTACTAGATTGACTTTAGCACATTTTGGGTGAAATTTTAATTCCTTCTTCTCTTTCAATTGCCATCACAAATAGCAATGGTGATAAGGGGTACCCCTGTCTAAGTCCTTTCCTTGCCTCGAATGGCTTGGTAGGCTTGCCATTGATAATAACGGAATAAGAAACTGTGCTAATACATACCATTATACACTTCACAAACTTTTCAGGAACTCCCAGCAATTTCATCACCTGCTCAATATATACCCATTCTACAGAATCATAAGCTTTCTGCATATCAATCTTTAGCATGCACCTTGGTGATATATTCTTCCTCTCATAGCCTTTTACCAATTCATGACTCATAATGATGTTGTCTCTGATCATCCTTCATGGCACAAAAGTTGTTTGGAAATTGTCAATAAGGTCTGGCATGACTACCTGCAATCTTGTTGTTAGAATTTTTGATTTGTCTTATATAGCACAGTGCAACAGGATATAGGTCTAAACTCCTATATGCTATTAGAGTAATGGTGGTACAATTGATAGCTTTACACATTTCTGCACTTTCAAAGAACTCCATCACTGCTTCAGTAACCTTATCACCCAGTATATGCTATGTTTTCTTAAAGAAAAATGAATTATAGCCATCACATCCCGGTGCTTTGCTGTCATCAATGTCCAGTATTGCTTGTTTGATTTCTTCTTTTGTGACTGGCGTGTTTAGCTGTAATTGTTGTTGCCTGCTCAACATATATCCCTTCTACATGATTTCTGTGTTGACTGTTGGTAATGGTAGAGCTGCTGTGCTAAGTAACTTCTTGTAGAAGTTCAGAATTTCTTCTTCCACTTCATTTGAACTCTGGAGTATTTGCCATGTACTGTTAACTAGTCTACCAATATGATTTGTTGCTTGCCTATTTTTCACACAAGCATGGAAGTATGATGTGTTTGAATCCCCTAACTTGAGCCATTTAATTCTTGATTTCTGCTTCAATACACTCTTCTCTACCTCTAGCCATTTAGCCAATTCCAGCTTTGTAGCCTTTTCTTGTGCTAGTGTCTCACTGACATTTCCTGGTCCTAGCATTTAAGCATGTATACCTTCTAGTTTAGTTCTTGCTGCTTGAATCTTGTGCCTAATGTTGCTAAATTCTTAACTATTCAACTTTTCAGGTCCCCCTTTAACATTTTGAGCTTATTCCAGACCTTTAACATTGCATTTCCATGTTGCCTCTTTATCCAACATTGCTTAACTGTATCATCAAAGTCTTTATGTTGTGCCAAATAGTTTAGGAATTTGAATGGACTTCTTCCAGCTTGATTATTGTCATCAAAAGTTATGCTTAAAGGGTAGTGATCAGAAAACCCAGGATTCATTATAATCCCCTCCATAGCAGGCCAATTTTGAATCCATTCTGCATTAACTAGAATTCTATCAATCTGCTGTGAACATGATTGTTTGTCCAAGTAAACTTTCTACCCACAGTTCTGAGTTCAGCTAGTCCGACATCCAATATGAACCCTTTGAAGTCTCTCACCTCAAACTCTTGTACTGCAATTACCTGCACTCTATCCTCACTAGATAGGATAGTGTTAAAATCTCCCATTATTAAGCTTAGTCCACTGATTCCAGCCATAGTTCCCCTCAGATCCTCCCATAATGCCTTCCTATCCTGTATAGTATGCATTCCATATACAGCTCCAATGTTAAACTTGGTGATATTCTGGTTTATAGTCACCCGTCCTACAATATATTGCTTATGTATTTGATATGCCTCAAACTCCACCTTTGTCTAATCCGGCACTACCCATATTCTATCTCCTGGAGCAGCATCATAATTTGCTATCCATTTCCAATTACTAGTCACCTTCTTGATTATTGAATCAACATTTGGTTCGTTGACTCTATTCTCTAGAACAACCATTAATACTACCTTATTCTTGATACTAAATTTTTTGAGTTCTTTTTGCTTATATATTTTATTCAGACCCCTAACATTCCACGAAATGATATTCATCATCATATAGTAGTTATACTAGAGTCACCACCTCTGTCCCTTTCACTAGGCTGCCCTCTTTTCTCTTGAGCTTCAGAAAGTTGCACAATCTTTTGTGCTGTATCAACTAGGGCTTTGAAGGCATTCCCAATATATACCTCATTCTCATTTACCACTTTTTTGTTCTTCTTTGATGCAGACTTTCCCCTAGCCATCTGCCATTGCTCTTCATTTTTCTGTTTGCTCTGCACCTCATCATTTCCTAATTCCACTTGTTCCAAAAATCTCCCATGTGCATCAATTTATCCACCTTAGGATCAAGTACCCTCACAATTCTTCATTCTTGTTTCTTATTCTGTACTCGAACTCTTTGTTGTCCTCCCTTCTGGTTCTGCTTCTGTTGGTCTTTACATGAATGCCCAATTTGACAGTATTGATGTTTCCAATCATATTGTATCAACTGTTCAATCACCTTTCCCTTGGGATCATATAGTTTGATTGATCCTGGTAATGGCCTAGTGATATCCATTTCAATTAGTACCCTAGCATATGAAATTCTATCAGCCGCTGTGGTGCATGCATCAGCATATAGGGGTTTGCCCAGACCACTCCCAATTTTGCTTAAAGCCTGATTACTCTAGTAGTTCAGTGGAAGCTTTGGGAATTTGACCCATAGAGGAATGGTTTTCAGCACTCCCTCATTAAAATCAAATCCATCCATCTATGGTCTAAGTATAATTGGCCTGCTGTTCAGAGTATACGGTCTATTCATCAACACATCATCCCTATCTACACAACTGTTCATCAAAATTATAAAATACCCATCATTATGGAAGAGTACCTTCGGTTTTATGATCTTACTCCACTGGCCTGCTATGAATCGCTCAATTGCCCCAATAGTTGGAGTATTTCCAACCACATACATGATTATCGCTCGATTCCACTTCTGATTTTCCTCAGCTATGTCCTCTTCCAATAATTGCACTACAACTTCTCCTTCCCGTATCACCGGTGGAATATACGATAGGTTCATTCCTTTTGCTTCAAATTTGTTTTCATGAAGCAAACCTGCCCAGGATCTTCCCCCATTTCCAGTTGGCATTGCTTTCCTCTCGTTCATGTGTTTCTTAGCTTCAATTTCAGCAGTTCCTGTTCCATTACTCTGTTCCTTTGGCAAGCTTACAGTTACTGTTCCATTGGTCTGTGTTTTACTCGTACTCGCTCCTCCAATTGAGACTGGCAAAACATCCACTTTGGTTATCAATTGATTGACTGGGCTCCTTAGTACTACTGATTGTGGCCGATTAATGCTCAGATATGGCTAATGTAGATCATTATCACTATCCAGATCCAGATCTTCCTCTTGTACTTTACCTTTGGCTTTTCATGTTGCTTTCCTTGCTCTCTTGTAATGATATCTGTGATTTTCTGTTCTATTACTGATGTTTTGTTGTGGTTCTTCTTTGGTCTCCCTCTTCCTCCCATTTCCGGCAAGGGCGCAGGTTAGCTAGCATCTAACGTGCGCTGAAAAGTTTAGTGACAAATACGAAATTAATATATTTTAAAGGGTAAAAAAGGCGAACGATATTTCGCTATAAGGGATTTCGTACTTTTAATATAGTGTATATATATAT